GGACTCACCCCCCCCCCCCCCCGGGGGGACGCGGATCTCGCAGGAGCCACGATTTGCAGCTCCTGGTGTGCCACCATGTCACGGGCTTGGGACAGCATCACCGGTGACACAACGGGACTCGGGCTCCCCCAAGCTCTGGGACCTCCCTGGGGTGATGGAGCAGAGCGTGGGGCTCCCTCTTTCTCCCCCATTTTCTAGGGCTGAGGTGGGCAGGAGGATGCTTGCGAGGCCACGGGCGGGCGTGACATGGCCGGCGCCTTTCGGTGCTGCCTGCTGAAGGGTCCTTCACACCCTGCTCCATCCCGTGGCACCAGAGACCCGCAGGGGACAACCCGTGGTGACCCCGAAGATGTGCCACCCACCTCCCCTGCCTCTCTGCCTGCCGAGCCCCCGCAAGGAGGGAGGTCGGCGGCAGGTAGGTGGACGTTACGAACAAGCCGGGCTCTGCTGGGTTCCCCCCGCCTCGGCCGAAAACAGGGATTCAAGGCTCTTCCCTTTGCCTTTGCCCAGCTGCTGGTCATCACAGAGCTCATCAAACCCCCCCGTCCCCCCGTCCCCTGCCAGGTGGGGCCGCCTGATGGCCCGGGGGGGGACCACGGCGATGCCGGGAGTCCATGAGGATGCCGGGAGTCCACGGCTGCGGGCTGGGGAGCGCTGCCTTTGGGCTCTTCCCCTGCCCCGGGGAGCCCGGAGGGGCTTGTTTGGGCAGGAGGGGGTGCAAGGGCACGGAGGAGCTGGAGGATGCTGTAAGGGGGTGGAAACTCCTGTGGTCTGGGTGGGAGTTTGGGGGTTTGGAGGGCTGGGAAGGTGCCTGCCCGTTGTGTCTCACGCCTGAGCTTCCTGCCTTTCTCAGCTACTAATTTATTTTTTTTTTTTTTTTTAAACTTACGGAAACTTAAAAGCTTTGCGTTGTCTGTCTCGCTGCCGAGTCAGGTGGAAAATACCAGAGCGCGAGAAGCAAACAGGCACACACAGCCCCCCCGGCCCCATTTCCTTAGGAAATCAGGCTGCAAAATAAAGCCCCGTGCACTCGTGGGTCAGGGATTTTGGGGGCGCGGGGGTGGGTGTGCA